TCCACGTGGTCCGCGGCCATTTTTCCGCCCGTTCCACATGGTCCGCGGCCATTTTCCGCCCATTCCACATGGTCCGCGGCCATTTTTCCACCCATTCCACGTGGTCCACGGCCATTTTTCCGCCCGTTCCACGTGATCCGCGGCCATTTTTCCGCCTGTTCCACGTGGTCCGCGGCTGTTTTTTTCTGCCCGTTCCACGTGGTCCACGGCCGTTTTCCGCCCCCGCCACGTGGTCCGCGGCCGTTTTCCCACCCCTGACATGTGGTCCGCGGCCATTTTTCCGCCCTGCCACGTGGTCCGCGGCCATTTTTCCGCCCCTGATTTGTGGTCCATGGACGCTGGAACAGATTAACGGTAATTACATTGAACCTTATGGGAAAATTTGCCTCGTGTTGCAACCAATTCGAGTTGCAACCAGAGTCACGGAACGGATTAAATTCGTAACTCGAGGTTCCACTGTATTAGGATTTGAAGCAGGCATGGGTCAACTTGACTTAAGGGCCACTCAATTCAATCTGAGATGCTTCAAGATTCAATCTGAAGAAAGATTCATCTACGGGCCATAATGGGGAAACTTCAAAACACCATAAGCTCTTATCTCTCAAATTGCTGCCTTTGATCAATGGCTTCAGTATCAGGTGGACTGGCATAGCTCACTGGCAAGCTTAGATCCCCTCCCATCGCTGGCCTTAGTGAGGCACCAGGTTAGACAGGACACAGTGATAAAGCTAGACCTCTTCAGGAAAAAATGACCACTGACTTCTCCTTTTGGGGATGGTGTAGCTTTGATGCCTCTTATCACTGGGTTTTATGAAATTGCCAGATAGGCAAGCTTACCTACCTCCTGGTAAGAACACCCTCAACAATGGCCTTGAGAGGTATTAGTATGCCTACCCATTTACATACATACATACATGTGCATGAGAATGCAAGAACCTGGGGTCTTAAACCACCAACACCTAAGGAAACTCTGATATCCCAAAAGACAAGCTCTGAAAAGCAGTACTGTGTTTATGAAACAACTAAGGTATGCCCACAACATACATAAGCAGAATTAGGATTACACTTTACATCAAGGATGCTGCGAGAGCTAAGGAATTAGAATCGCACCTAAAATACAAAAAAAAAAAAAAAGACAAGGCATTAATGCTGCCAGATCGAGAGAAAACAACACCTGATTTGTGAGAGTATTTGATTAGAAAATTACATGTATAGCATTTCTAGCAAGGCTGTGTGTCTGGCTACCTTTAGAAAGGACTAAATTAATGGAACTAAGAGTAGGAAAGTAAAGGAGTGTTTCAGCAACTGAAAAGAGTTGATGGAAAGGAAAATTAGGAATGATTTAAAAACAGAAAAGGAAAGACATCCGCAGGGAAGGAACTGAGGAGAAATATTGGAGGCAGGCCACAGGAGGATTTGCAGATGCCGGGCACATCATGAAACACAAAGAGAAGAAATTGATTGGTTTATGAAACAAACAAACAGGCACGAATCCAGAATATATCTGTCCTTGGAACAGTGAGAGCCTTTTTATTCTTTCATTGGGTGACTCCAAGTTCTTGCTTGGCCCATTCAAATTTTGTCAGAGAATCAAAGAGGAAAAAAGAAAACTGCTTTTCCTTTTTTCCTTCTTGGGTAGGGAGAGGGAGGGAGAATATGGAGATTCTTGTACAATAAAACCCCAATTTTTACGGAGCAATTTGGAGAAACAGGTGTCCATTAATATCCATTAAACGTGATTTTATACAATTAACTTAATTCACATTATGTTGTAATTGATGTAATTTTATCATTTGCATCCGTTTATTCATTTGTGAAATTACACAATACAGAAATGATTTAAATTGTTGCAAATGAAGTTAACTGCAATGATTATGTAATTATGCAAATGATGTAAATTGTGTCAACTGTCAGGACTGCTTTGGAAATATTTGAGGGTGAAGTCCATACTAAAATGTTGTCCATTGCACCCAAAATCCTCTGGGTGAGGGATCATAAAACTGAGTTTCACTGTATAGTAAAGCGTGATGAAACCCTTAATTGGCGCCAGTGAGAGAGCAAGCTCTCAACGACAGTCATAAAGAAAGAACTCCGCTGGGTAACCAGATTTGGTTACATCAGCAGAATGTGAGATGTCTGAATTCTGGAATGACAGATTACTCCAGCGTCTCAAGATGCTTCTCTTACTTTCAAATTCTAATTCAACATCATAAAAATAACAACAGAACTTGTAACACTGTGCCTATCTGTGTGTGCCTTTGGGTGTTTTGTGCCTTTGGGTGACTCTTGATTCCTGGTGATTGCCTGGACAACTCCAGCAACTTTCTCGGCAGCATTTTCAGAAGTGATTTGCCCTGGCCTCCTTCCTTCGATTGCCCCAAAGTCACCCAGAGGCTTCATTCTCAAAGCAGGACTAGAACTCCCAGTTCCCTGGTTCCTAGCCTGGTCTCTTGAATTACTACACCAACGTAGCTCTCTCTCCTTCTGTGTCCACAAAAACATATAAAACTAACTTATAAACTATTCTTCTTTTCAGCTTATATAGGAAGTTTAACATCAGTATAGATCTTTCTTGGTGGCTATATCTATGATTTTTGCCTTCAGACAACATATGCAATGATTCAACTGTTAACAGGGAGGGATGGAAGCATTAAAAGAAGAACACAGAGCCACCAAAGATACACTGCGTACATCTTTTTGCTGAGACTGTCTTGCCAAGCAGGATATCTTTACCAC